ACCCAACTCTGGCCCCCATTAGCCATCTTTTCCCCCTCAAAGAAAAAATGTACTGAAAAGCACTTGTCAAGGTCTCACCTCAGGGACAAAGGCCCATTAAAACACTAAGAGCTAATCATAGGATTGTCAAACCCTTCCCCTCCCCCTACATCTTCCCACTGATAGGAATAGGAAGCAGGGAAATTCAGGGCAGAAGAGGGCAGGTCCTTGGCAAGGGCCCCACCCTCAAGCCTGGAATCATGGCCCAAAGTAAGAACATACATCTGTGTTTTCCTGCTTGAATGCTGCCTTTTCCAAAATCACCCCTGGCCCACTCTGCCCCACTATCCTGTGCCCATGAAAACCTTAGGCTCAGCCGGCAGAAAGAGAAGCAGCTGGACGTTGGAAACTATGGTTGGACGTCAGAGAGAAGTGGCTTGACTTCAGAGGGACAGCTTGACGGTGTATCTTTGAAGAGGAATCTGGCTGGGAATGGCTGAACTTTAGGGGAAGATTAGCCTTCCTGTTCCATCCCTTTTCCAGCTCCTCTTCCCACTGAGAACCACTTTTATCACAATAAAATCCCTTGCATTTACCAGCTTCAACTCTCATGCAACCTCATTCCTCCTGGACACTGGACAAGAACTCAGGTGCCATTGAGTGTGGGTGCAAAAGGCTGTCATGCTGATCCTCCACTGAGCTGTTAACACTTGTAGACAGCAAAGCTAAAAGGGCACTGTAACACCTCCTCTGGGGTTTCAGAGGTCGTGGGTACCCTCCCCTAGATACTGCTGGGGAGCGAGTATGCAGCTCACTCTTGAAGGCGCCCAAAAGCACTCACTCTGGCTCCTCCATTCACACACCTGTGCTTCCACCTCCCTTGAGGGGTGGAGCAGCGAGTGAGTGGAGTTTGCCCCTGCCAGTGCCTGTGCACCTCAGTTCCCACCTGTGAAGGAGTCACTATCCTGTTTCACCACCACATCTACAGGGCTCCTGTATAATAATGGGATTACAATGGAAAGAACTGCAAGGCTGACTTTATTTAAGAAGTCCCTAGGGAAATTTTAAGAGACAGAAACAAGGACAGTAGAGGAAAATGATGCCTTACACACTTACAACTAAACAGTAAACACAGCCTAATTCCTAGCCACACAAACATAAAACACTACCAGCCTATTTAATCTCCGTTCACATTACCTATACAATATGTTCAGCTCTCAACAAAAAATTGTAAGGCATATCAAAAGGTAAAAAAAAGTGTGACAAGACAAAGCAAGTATCAGAACCACACTCGGATGTGACAGATATTTTGTAACTGTAAGACTGTGAATTTAAAATATTTACGATTAATATAGTATGGGTTCTAATGGAAAAAGTGGATAATATTCAAGAACAGGTGAGTAATGTAAGCAGAGATAAAAACATTAAATAAAAATCAAAAGGAAACATGAACATGTAAGGAATATAAAGGCACTGGACAGAGAAATAGGATGAAGGGTTGAAGAATCAGCAGTTGTTTTTATTGCCATGGTAGACTTGTCCAATATTGTAAAGCTAAAGGCAAAGATCTAACACAGGAAAAGAGAAAGTGGAAAATTGACAAATATTTGCTTCATGAGATCCTTTCCAAGGTCAGGATTAAGTCCTAAAAGGAGGAAGATGAGAAATAACAAATTAGGCCAAACCAAAAGGTTATAAACTTGTCTGTGAAACTTCGTTTTAATTAGATAACATGGCTACTGCAAAAAATAAAGGTTATACTACTTCCCATCTCCCACCCCATTCTTTCCTCAATAATGTTATGAAATTGTCAACATTTAAGAAACTCCCAAAGGAATTTTTCTTACACCTCATACTATGAGTTGGACAGTTTTTGTATTTTTCAATTTAATAAATTCAATTTCATTTTACCTTAAAATTTCCATACCTGAAGGTGAAAACAAAAACCATACAAGATAAGCAGTAACCAAAGTTACTGAAGTAAATATTCATTCAGCAAATATTTATTTAGCACCTTCTTCATTCTAGGCAATGGATACCGTAGTGAACAAAACAGAAATCTTTGCCCTTTTGGAGTACTATCCTTAGGTGAAGACAGATTAATAAGCAGGTATACTATAAACTTGCAGAAAAACTTTTTTTTTTTGAGATGGAATCTCACTCTGTCAACCAGGCTGGAATACAATGGCAGTGATCATGGATCACTACAGCATCACCTTCCTAGTCTCAAGTAAACTTCCCACCTCAGCCTCCCAAGTAGCTGGGACTACAGGCACATGCCACCACACCTGGCTCAATTTTTTGTAGAGACAGGGATTTGCCATGTTGCCCAGGCTGATTGTGAACTCCCAAGCTCAAGCAATTTGCCCACTTCAGCCTCATAAAGTGGTGGAATTACATGCATAAGCCACTGCGCCTGGCAGGAATAAATTTTATGGAAAAATTCAAGCAAAGGTGAGGGACTGAAGAGTTCCAAGGGTGAAGTATTATTAGTTTATATTACTTTGGAGCACAGGCTCCAAAAGGGGAACATAGTGTGCCTCATGTGCTGTGGAACAACACGGAATGTAATTAGGCAAAGGGAAGAGTCCATAGTGAGATCCTCTGGGGTCCTGTAAAGAGTTTTACTGAGTGAAATGGAAAAAACTTGAGAAATGTTTCGGGCAGAACCACATTGATTACTACCTGGAGGGTGTTGGCAAGGAGACTATTTAGGTGGGTATCACAATGTAACACAGTGATTTACATGGGAGTGGTAGTCTGGATTTATTTGGCAGGTAGAAATGGTAAAATTTGCTTATGGAGTGAGGTATAAGATGGAAGTCAAGGGTAATCCCAAAGTTTTTCACCTGAGTAATTAAAGAGTGGAATTTGCCATTTACTAAAATGAGAAAGATGGCAGTTAATTAGAAAAGAGAGAAAATATTATACACTTAGTTGTAGATGTGAATTTTGAGATGTTTATTAACTTACAAGTGCAGGTGTTTTTTCTTAAAGTCTGTTTTCTTGGGAGAGGTCTTAGCCAGAGATGAACATTTGTGAATCATCATTATAGGTGATACTTAAAGACATCAGAGTGAAGAGGTTTATGGACTGACCCAGCAACACCAATACAGTCCTGGATCATCAGCTATGAACCACATATACAATGGTGATCTGGTAGCAGAGCTGAAAAATTCCTATTGCCTAACAACGTTGTAGCTGTCACAACATTCAAGCACAAGACATTACCTTTTCTATGTTTACATACACAAATACTTAGCATTGTGTTACAATTGCCTACAGTATTCAGTACAGTAACATGCTGCAGGTTGGTAGCCTAGAACCAACAAATGTATTTTCATCATTATGCAAACACCATTTAGTGTACTTACACAAATCTCGATGTATAGCCTACTACAGCCTAGGTGTACAGCCTACTATACACTTGAAGCCTAGGTGTATAGTAGCCCATACATCATCTACGTTTGTGTAAGTACACTAGAAGATATTTGCAAAATGCTGAAATTGCCTAACAAGGTATTTCTCAGAAGGGTCACCATCGATGCATGATTGTATTTAGTTATGATAGTGAGGAACAGATACCAGCAAAGGATCTGGAAAAGGAGAAACCACGAACTAAGACAAGAACTAGGAAGAGTGGTTTCTCAGAATCCAAATACAGCTTTTCAAAGCTCAAGAAGTAACAAACTAGACCAACGCTGCTTCATTTAACAAAGAATGAAACTGTGGATCAGCCATTGTATTTGGCTGCATGGCTATTGTTGACTTGCACAGAAGCTGTTTTGGTGGAGCGGTAGGATGGACAAAAGCGTGAGTACCATATTCAAGAGGGAATGCAAGGTTCTCTCCCAAGAACTCTCAACAAGTTCCGCTGAAGAAAGATTAGCTGAGGTGGAGGAGATTGGAGAGGGGAAGAGAAAACAAGTAATTAAGGAACTTTGGAGGAACTTAGTGGACAGTATTATGGGCAGTACTAAGGAACCATTTAAAGACAAGTCCACATAGCTGTGTGCTTTTCTCCAGTCTTGTTCAACTGATGCTTAACAGTAGAATGCTGGAAGCAGGAATTAGTTTTAAGGTAAGACGGTATTAAGGAGAGGACAATAAAATACCTCTACTACAGAGCACAGCAATGTTTGGCCTGGTGGCTCACAGAAGCTGAGGCTCTTGAACGTCTGGGCACAGCATGAAGGCATCAAGCTTGAGAGGCTGCAGGCCTTAACAAACTAGAAGTGCTAGGAGGAAGGATGGTTCTAAACAAACCAGGTCTTTTCTCACAGAGCAAGCACAGCAGTAGAGATTTTATTTTATTTTATTTTTTAGACAGAGTCTCGCTCTGTTGCTCAGGCAGCAATGGCACGATCTCGGCTCACTGCAACCTCCGTCTCCCGGGTTCAAGCAATTGCCTCAGTCTCCCAAGTAGCTGGGATTACAGGCATGTGCCACCAGGCCCGGCTAACTTTTTGTATTTTTAGTAGAGACCAGGTTTCACCATGTTAGCCAGCCTGGACTCGAACTCCTGACCTCAGATGATCCAACCGCCTCAGGTTCCCAAAGTGCTGGGTATTACAGGCGTGGGCCACCGCGCCCGGCCCAGTAGAGATTTTTTTTAAAGACTGTGGTAGGTCGATAAAGGAGCCATTTGTCGCCTGGGCGCTTCGAGGTCTAGAGACTGAACCCAGTTGGGGTACGGCCCTTTCCAAATCCAGAAATATCTATTAATAGAAGGGCTCCCTCCGGGACCCAGGGAGATGGACTACGGTTTTAACGCCGGAACTTACAACCTGAAGTTCTGCTGCTTGTGACTGCCTGCCGGAGAGACTGGCATGGTGGCGACCAGCTGCGGAGTGGTCCACCACCCCTTTTCTGGCCGCCTCTGAAGTCCCTGTACCTCCAAGCCCCTGCGTTGGCGGTTCGGGCCGAGGATCCGGAATGTTTGCAGGGCGTCATGGCGACGGTGGAGCTCTGGCTCAACAAGCGGCCGCGCGGTTGGCTGGCGGCACGAGGCCGAGGAGGAGGGCGGAGGCGGAGGGGAGGGCAGAGGGTTGGTGGAGCAGGAGGAAGCTCCGGACGACGACTAGAAGAAGGAGGCGGGCGGCCCGGGCCTCAGGCCCCTCCCAGGCTCTGAGTCTCCCGGCTGCAGGCGGATGGATGGGGCTTCTTCAGGCGGTGGCGGCAGCAGCGAAGGTGGCGGCGGCAGCAGCGGCAGCGGCTGTAAGTGCAGCCTCCACAAGCCATCTCTCCCCTTCTGTTCCAGTTTGGGATGAGGGGCTCCTGAGGTGTCCTCAGTCCCCTTTCTCTCCTTCCCCTCCCCCACAGTAGTGTACCGCCCGGAAGACCCTTAACTTCCGGGGAGGGGCTGCCTCAGAACGCGCCTGGCTTGCTCGCCGCCGGCGGCCGAAGGCGCATGCGCAGCTCCCTCCCCGCCACCGCCCACTACCTCCCAGCGCCGCCCTTTTGCCTTCGCGGTGGCGGCGGCGCGCTGGGAATCCGCTGCGGAGTGAGTTCGCCTCGCCCCGTTCGCTTCGGTCCCTGATCCCAGTCGGGGTGGGGCTAAGCTGACCACCCCGCTGTGGCTCCGCCTCTTTCTGCTGTATTTCCCTCACTTGTGTCCCAGTCCCAGGAGGCTCCCGCTTGCACTGCAGCCTTTATGGTGAGCAGCGCCCTGGGCCAACCTGCCCTTTTCGAATGGAGTCAGGGAGGGAGGAGAGACTCGAATAGGGTATTACTGTGAGGAAATGAGGTCCTCCTAGCGCGTGGGAGGATCCCTTGGGACAGATGCTTGCCGCTCTTTAGTCTTGTTGTTTCAGCTTGTAGTGGTTAGGTCCCTGGCCTGGAGCCTGTGTGGTCCCTGCATGCTGTGTGACCTTGAGCGAGTCACTATCCCTCTCTGGGCTTCAGTTTTCCCTATTTAAAGCTTCCTCCAACGCTAGAATTCTGTATTTCTGCAGAAGAACTTACGTAATTACAAGATTGATTTGGCTATTGAGGCCGCTTCACCGAGATGACCCGGAGTTGACTGAATCTTCTTCACTCATGGGTGGAATGAGGCGACCTATTTATTGGGTCGCTTTTATTCCTTTACCATTGGTTGCAAATTGCATGACTTAAGGCTCATTAAATGTTTTTCTAAAATTGTCATGGGATCCTTGTCCTAATTCCCGACCATCTTTTTAAACATGTGAAACAGGGTAGATGGTGAGCTTGTATCTCGTTTCTGTCTCCTTGCTACTGAGGCTCTCTTTCCTTTGATCCAGATGGTGTGGTCGCTCGATTCTCCCAGTGCCTGGCTGAGTTTCGGACGTGGTTAAGAACCAACTGGTTGAGGTTCAATGCAGACAAGACGGATGTGATGCTGGTAGGCAGGGGTACGCTTGGAGATTAAGGGAGGGAAAAGCCAAACTCCCTCAAGTAATGTGAGATTATATTACTCTTCTTATATGTTCCAGTGTTTGAGAATTGATGGGCCAAAAATTTCCAGAATTTGGGTGAGATAAAAATAACATGTCATCAATGTAAGAACCATAAACATACAGTTTGTAATATGCTGATAAAATGGGGCCACTGGATAGAACTGTGTAAAACTTACGAAAAGAAAATCCAAAACTGTTATTTGAAGAACCAAAAGCCTACATAAGTGTTTTAGAGTGGCATTAATAATAAAAAATGAGACTAATGAAAAGATGATGCTGATTGTCACTATAGATGTGGGGCTTCTAAATGTAATAGGCTAAGTTTTTTAGATTTAGGTATTTTCAACCAAATTAGTAATTATCCATACAATTTTACCACCACATCATAAAGGCATAGTGTAGGCTGTTGCTTTTAAATAAAAATTTCAGGAAATAGTTTATAAACTAATCTCAAAAGAGACTCATGGACCCTGAAAATTGTTAGATACAGAATTTTTTAGTTTTGGATGTGTTGTATTAATCTATTTCAATCAGCTAACCCCAGAGTCTAAACTGTTATAAATACAGTATTTTCTTGGTGCATTTTGAGAGGTACCTTTTTGGATTGCATAACAGGTTTATATATGATATATATATATGTTACTTGTATTTGAATCAGGTGTTGGTACTGAATAAAAGGTTATATTTCTTAGGTATATGTAAACTGCTGAAGAAGTTTGTTCATTGGTTCGTTTAAGGTACTGGTTGAAGTAAGATTGTGATACTAAATGCTTTTGTTAAAAGCATAATAATAACTGAGGGGTTTGTGTGTGCGTGCGCCTTATAGCCTCTATAGAATTGTTTAATAATTTTGAATGGAAGATTCAGTAAATTGCTTACAAATGATTTATCAATATAATAGCAGTTTTGAGTAGCTTAATGTCATAAAAATTAATGTTAGTTTGCCCGAAAATAAGGCAGCTTTTAGGTGGGCAATAGGAGCTGAAGAGGCATTTATTCAGGCTTTCTATAGTGGTTTTTTGTTTTGGGACATTAATCACAAACCTCACATAAAATTGGAATTCACCACACTTTTTTAGTTTAAAGATTTTATACACAATTTCAACAGAACTACTGTTTTGGATATCACATTAATAAATAACAAGGTGTAATTAAGCAGACACAATTAATGGTGCATTTTCTCATGCCTTTAGCTCTGTCATGTCCTATTTTCAACTCTTCTAGTATGAATAGGCTTTAAAAATAATTTTTTTGTTAACCCAAGTATAAATATTAACGGTTTGCATTTGGATACAAAGAAGATATCTGTTGAATTAATCCAAAGTGCTGAAGAACTAAGGGTAATGGATGGAAACAACAAGGAGGTAGATTCTGGCATAATAAAAGAATGTTTTAAACATTTGAACTTTTTTTGAAAAGAGGAGCCTTTTTATGAGATATAGTGAGTCACTGGAGGTGTTTAAACATAGGCAAAAAGCCTGGTAGTAGAAGCATGATGAGAGATTACTATTTTGACAGAGTAGAGACTTGACTAAAAGATCTCTAAGGTCCCATCCAACACTAAAATTCTGTGACTAGTGAATAGTTAATTTTTATATATTTAATACTGAAGAGGGTAAGTAAGCATTTTGAGAAAGACTTTTCATTCCCTAAGGTGGCTCCTGAAAATTTTACAGTTAAGTGTATCACTAAAATAAAATAATAGTGGAAGTATACTGAATTCAGTGGTAATGTGTTACCTATGAATTGCAGTATTAGAGCTGTTTCTTTTTTATAATATCTGAACCTAAAAAGACCCACTGAATCCACATTTATAAAAAGGGGAAGGAGAAAAATGTAGAGATTTTCTTCCCTCAATAATAATAATACTATTTAAATCTAGTAATATTGACACACAATATTAATAAACTTAAAAAATTATTTAGGCCGGGCACATTGGCTCACGCCTGTAATCCCAGCACTTTGGGAGGTTGAGGTGGGCGGATCACAAGGTCAGGAGACCGAGACCATCCTGGCTAACACGGTGAAACCCCGTCTCTACTAAAAATACAAAAAACCAAAATTAGCCGTGCGTGGTGGCGGGCGCCTGTAGTCCCAGCTACTCGGGAGGCTGAGGCCGGAGAATGAGGGAGAATGAGGTGAACCCGGGAGGCGGAGCTTGCAATGAGCCGAGATCGCGCCACTGCACTCCAGCCTGGGCGACAGAGCCAGACTCCGTCTCAAAAAAAAAAAAAAAAAATTATTTAACAGTAAGATAGATACCCATTCAGAAATGTTTCAGACTTCATTTTCCTGACAATTTTACGATTCATTCAGTAGGTTACTAGACTGTGATCCCCTGCTCTTTATCACAGTTGGGATTTCTGTTGGTAATTTAACTGAAGAATCAAAGATTCAGTGTACTTAAGCAAGCAAGTTATTCCTGTACCTTGTATTTTAACACTTTTAATTTTCCTTTGGTAGGCAAATTTCATAAATTAGCTTTCATATTTTAATGGAAAACCCTCCTTCATCTCCATGGTATAAAGCCTGAGTTTGTACCTCTAGGCCCCTAATTGTGTCTGTACCCACCTCAGGTCCATGTACATCCATTGTTCTTTGCCTTCAGCTCTTTTCATTAAGTGTATTGATTGAAAACTATTCGGATATGAACTGACACTTTTAAAAAGTCATTTTTATTTCAAGTCCAAAGCACTGACATAATTCAACAGGGTAACTCTTAGAAACTATATACCTCTGCTAAAATACTTATTCCCCCAAGGAATCCTGAAAAACACTTTTACATAAGTTTTCTAAAAAATAAAATGAAAATACTGTACAGTACAGTTAATGGTAAAAATTGTTTGTAGATTTGGGAACCTTAAAGTTTTCCTTTCTCTTCTTTCCCTTGCTTTTCTTTCAGTAGAAAATGTGCATCAGATGTTTATGTTTAATTGGTTTACAGACTGTCTGTGGACTCTTTTCCTGTCAAATTACCAGGTAATGTCCTTTCACTTAGCAGCTACTTCATATATCTGTAAATGCAGTTTATTCATGCACAGATTATTATTGGACATAGCAGTTTCAAATTAACGTTGAATCTTTGGAAATAGGAAAATGCTTGATAGAGTCTAGAATTTTAAGGGAATATAAATAATTTAATAGCCTCCCCTATATTGCATTATAAGTTAAGTATAAACTTTAAGAAAAATTGTATATGTACACATTTATGCAATATATTGTAGCATTGGTTCACATTATTTGGAGGGAATGAATAATTCTCATATTTAAATGGTTGATTTTGGTAGCCACTTTTGAAACTGCATTAAGAGGAACCCTTGAAGATTAGGAAAAAAACTCAGTCTTTCGAAATAAAGACTTTAAAACTGGTTTAGTAAAATATGTTAGTGACTGTTTTAATGTCACCTTTGTGTTATTCAGTATCTGCCTTAGTATAATGGAAGTGAAACATGTTAGTTACTTTGAAATCATTGGCTCTGGCCATCATCAGCATTGTCATCATGGCCAATTGGCAGCTGTAGGCCAATACATTAAAATAAACTTTCAAGTTACCGGCATTTCAGGCGTTGCAAATAAGTAGGTTCTCCCTCTATGGTACTAAATAGATGATAGCCAAAAAACAGTCAATTTTCAGTATTTTAAATTTTGTCTAGTTGTGCAAAATTCAACCAGTACATAACTCTGTTGCTACTGGCATGACAGAAGTGTGTGAGAAAACGCAAATGACATGAGGATGGCAGACTGCCTATCACAACCCCTTCCATTAATTTTTGCTGTGACCTCTTTCGAGATTTGGGGATATAGAATTTTACATTTCCTGTCGGGAATCTACTGATTGAGAAATATTTGTCAAGGCATAACCGCTTTCAAAGCACAATTCTTGCCGCTGTTGCATCACAGCAACATCCGTTTTTCAGCAAATACATTCCAAAAACGACCTACATGTAAAATATTACGTATTTTTCCCCTGCTGTGTCAATGCTGGATGTGGCTCCTTTGGCACTGTTCCTTGACCCCTCTGATCCGTAGACAACCCCCTCCGCCTGGAGTCGCGGATCAGCTGGAGCCAGAGAAGCGCCCCGCGCGGATGCCCACCTCCTCCCACACCCACCTTGACTCCGCCCCCTCCGCTCTTCCCGGGGAGGGCCGGCCGCGGGGCCGCGCGCGCGCCCTTGCTCCGGCGCGCGCTCGCTGGCCTTTTCCCTCCAGTCCAGCCCAGCCGGGGCGCCGCGAGGGGGCGGAGTGGGGTGTGGTGGGCGCGCTCGGGCGGCTCCTGCGCGTTCCCGCCGAGGCAGTGGCGGCGGGAGCGGCAGAGACGGCAGCGGCCGGAGTCCCGTTGCTGAGTCTCACATCCGGGTTCTGGCGGTGACCCAGCTGCGGCCGCCGCGGAGATGTGACCCGGCAGTACGGCAAATATGGCGGAGGTAAGGGAGCGAGCTCCCCCTCCCTGTCCCGGAGCCGGGCGCCCCCGGCCCTGGGCCGGGGAGGAGTGGAGTGGGCCTGGCCAGGAGAGGCCCGGCCCTGCTGGCGCCACTGCCCACCTGTTGTCTGGAACAGGCCATGCTCTGGGCGGGAGCTTCGCCTGGAACTTAGTTGGGATGGGTCCGGGGTTAGGAGGAAGCGGAGGCGTACTTGGACTTCGGGGGCAGTTTGAAGGGTAGTGCAGCGTAGTAGTGCGGGGCGAGGGGGAGGGGGCGCCCGCCGGGGAAGGGGGGTCTGTGGCGCAACTTCGCCGGCCGGTGCTAGGGGCCAGGAGAGAAGCTGCTGCTTCCTCTTGCGAAGTTTTTTCCCTTCCTAACCGAGATGCTGTTGCGCCCTTCCGCGTCACCCCCATCCGTTTACGACTGACATCCAGTCTGTGTTGGTGGGGAAAACGTAAGGCTGACGGCCTTTGATTAACTCTGTAATCTTCATGATTGTGGTAAAATAAGCGTGGAGAAATTAACCTGGCCAGCCGCGGTCCAGCCCTCCAGGTTGGGGGGAGTCTGCCCATTTATCCAGACAGTTCCATCGCCCTCTCCCTAAGGTACAACCTCTGAGTTGCTTTTCCACCTCCCCCACCACCTTCACTTTCCAGGCTTCCCCCCCTTTCCAAATCAAGGCTACCTATTCTTTCTCTTCTAATTTTTCTTTCATTGGAGAAGCTTTTTCTTGTTTCTTTTTGCTTGTTTTATAGAAAACAAGTTCCCAAAGCCCCTTTCTTTGATTTTACATATTTGGGCCGCATTTGGCGGGCATACAACTGCTGTTGATTTATCATTAATCGGAACTAAGTATATGCTGCTGGAACTTTAAGTAACTGGAAGTTTAAACCTTTAAAATATCTGAAGTTTTGTGAGGATTTGTTTTGTTTCCTTTTTTCCTTACCCGTGGAACAATTTCGGTATTCTTTATCTCTGGGAGTTTGAGATGATATATCTGGATTTTATGTCTCTTTTGAAATAAGGCACTGTAAATTTTGATTGATAAGGCATTTCTCTTGTTTGAATTGCCATTTTCATAGTTTCACAGGCACCCCAAAACAGATTTAGGAAGGAGGGTGAGATTTTACTGTGGCAGTCAGGGCTGTTTGCTGCCAATATTCTTTTTAAAACGTTCAATATCTCTAATTCACAACTCAATTTAGATCTTAGATTTATTTTCATTTCTTTTGCTCTTGGTGGTTAAAGAATTGTATTTCCAGGCACACGAATTGGAGAACGTAGTACTTTCTGTTTCCCCAAAATGTGGCTGTGTTTGTTCCAGTAGACTGGCAATCGGTACCTGGATTTTAGTCCTGGTGAGGTTCTTATTCTTAAGTGTTACTTTCCTTCATGTTTAAGGAGTTGTGTGTAGCTGAATTTATACATTTTGTCAGTTAGTGTCTTCAGTGGACCCCTTTCAGTGAATATCTCATAAGCAGCAGTGTGCTACATAGGTAACGTGGTTTCTTCTCTCATGATGTTGCTCAGGATGGTTTGAGCTTTAAGGTGTGTAGTCATACTAAGGCGAGGTATTACTGAAGGAAAATAGCTTATAGAGAGAAATTTAAGTTAAAAAAACTTAAATTTAAAATTTATGTGTTTTTAAAAAACAAATTTTACTGCTAAGGGAACTAAAAATCTAGTATGTAAAAGAAATTATGTTAACTTTTTTGTTTTAAAAATTAAAGATGGTTGCATTATTGTAAATTAAAGGAAAAAGATATTTTGATTCACTAATCAGTCATTTCCTAATATTTTCTAATGTATGTTTTAGTTTTCTTAAATATTTTATCAGTTCGAGAATGGAATGTTTTGTAGGAACGCATGGATGGTTCAACTTCAAGAAGGAAATAACTGGAATTTCGTTTTTAGTGTTTATTTAATGACCTAATATCTTTAAACAATTTATCTTCTATATTCTTCAGTTACTTGTAGATAGTTTCATATATAGTGAATTGGGGAAGAGTTAGAGAACTTTCGTAATCTGTGTCTTACAAAAAAGTCTAAGACGGGTGAAGAACTGAAAAGTACAATTGATTTATAATTTTCGTGGCCTCAGTACTTGAATAATTACGATGAGTTTTGAGATCAGTGGTTTTAAAAAAAATTAGACGAAAGAGAAATGCTTGGTTGGCTTCTACTTTGAGCTCTCAGTAGATTCATTCTTTATGAAGCCAATATAAAAGCATGTGATGAAATAATCCAGATGCTGAATTATTGTGCTTTTGATCAAATAAATCTGAGGATTTAAGGATAGCTTGTGAAGTAACAGTAAGTGCAAAGCAACAGTATATGTATATATTTGTTAAATCTGAGGGGGAAAACAGGTTATTGAAGTATGTCTCCAGAGAAAAATGTAGGTATTACGGTTCTGAGCTTTAAAAAAAAAAAATTGTTGCTTCCTACAAGAGCATGACCCTGACCATGTTTTTCCAGAAAAGCGTTTAATTCTTGAATACAAAGTGCTTTATATGTGAATAGGATATACTGATTTTTTATGTTTGATCTGATTATCTTAGTCCATAATAGGAAGTATATGTTGGTTCTTTAGTTATAACATTAAAGCCATATTTAATGTACTTAGAATGAATGGCATATGCTCCCTTGCTTAATACCTTTTGGCAGTATTTCTCATTGCTTATTATCCCTTAAAATTATTTACCAACCTTCTAAAAGGACGCTCTTCTACTCACACTTAAAGGAAGGAAATTACAGGATAGTTGCAGTTTTACTAACTGCAAAAATAAGAGGAAAATGAGAGAAAAAATAAGAGGAAGAAATAGTTGATCCTTTGGGTTTTATAAGGAATGTACTAGGGACCTTTGGGAGCGAACAATTTGTCTTTTATTTTAGCGTTTGTAATCACGTAAGGGACTTTCTTCTCAAGGAAAAACCATGGCACAATTCAAGACCTATCTTTTCACGTAGGCCATGTTTCTGTGATATAAAGAGAAAAAAAATTAATGGATTTGCTTTTTTCTATTTAAGTATTTTAGTACTTTCAAAGATAGTATATAATCTTTTTATTCACTTTCACACTTATCTATTATTTCTCTTTAAAATGGACTCCTTGCTTAGCATTTTTTGAGTGTGTTTGGATTTTGTTTTTTAAGGAAGGATTATGTTAAATGTTACTCATGAAAACGTTAATTTCTACTCTAAGCAAAATGTGTTTCACTGCAGTGAATTTAAGCCTCAAATAATTCTCCACACTAGTAATGAAATTTTTTTTTCATGTTTATACTTCAGAGCTATTAATATTTTAAAAGTAGGCGAGATCACCAGTGCGTGAGAGTCCTAAAAAGCTTAATTCAGTGGCAGTAAGAGTCAGGGTACTTGAATAGGTGGGAAAGGTTTGGTGGGAGAAATAAGTGAATTATTTTAAGATAATTCTGGTAAGTGAGACTAAATAAATAAAAGTTTTCTAAATAATTCAGAAATAAAACACTGCCATTGAAGCTTAAGCATGTCTTTATGAAAAGTAATCAGCTATCTAGAAATGCCTGCCTGGCTTGA